TTGAACTAAGGAGTTACACTGTGGTATTTCAGAAGTGCATATATATTTTGCTCACCATAACACGCTATTGCTTTCTCTTCCCCAACTCTCCCAATCTCCTATTCCATGCCTCCTTTTGAACTGCATTATTTCATGATGGGTTTTGCCATCAATTTTTTCTAGGAATTTTGGAGACTAGTGTCTTAGATACATGACTTGCAAACATTCTCTCCCATTGTCTGAGTTCTGTTTTGATATATGGATGCACAAAAATTACTTTCATGAAGTCTAATGTATCTATTTTTGCTATTTATATTTTTGGTGTCATAACTATGAATCCATTGCCAAAAGCAAGGAAAGATGTTTTTGACTCTGCAGGCATTTCCTGCCAGACAGTTTAAGAGGTGGATATGGAGATGGGGAAGGTCTGATATGGATCCACCGAGAAGTTTCAACAGCTGGAAGCTCAGGAAAGGGACATAGTGGTCTGTGTCCCCACTCAGACTGCAAGATAATTCTTTTTTTCAGTCCTGGGGCTTGAACTGAGGGCCTGGGTACTGTTCCTGAGCTTCATTTGCTCAAGGCTAGCACTTTACCACTTGAGCCACAGCACCAGTTCTGGCTTTTTCTGTTTATGTGGTACTGAGGAATCGAACCCAGGGCCTCATGCATGCTAGGCAAGCACTCTACCACTAGGCCCCTGCAAGATAATTCTCATTGCAGCACCAAGCCTGTGGTTTCTCCTCTTTTATGCAATGTAGTGCTGAAATTCCTAGCCAGATCAATAAGGCAAGAGAAAGAAATAAAGTCAAATTGTCCTTACATGCAGTTGATAATATATCACACTCAAAAGACCCTAAAGACTTCACTAAAATTACTCTCAGATGTGAGAAACACTTTTGGCAAACTAGCTATGTAAAATCAACATAAATTTAAGTAGCTTTTCTTTATACTAATAATAAATGATCTAAGAAAGAAATTGGAAATACAATATCAATCACAATGTCCTCAAAATTAAACATGTAGTAATAAACCCAACAAAGGATCTGCAAGATCTCTACTACAAAAACTAAAACCCTGAAAAAAATCGAACACATTGGAAAATGGAGGGACCTCCCATGTTTATGGACTGGAATAATACTGTGCAAATGGTTATGCTACCATAAGCAATTTACAGATTCAATGCACCCCATTCTTCATAAAAATATAAAAGTCAACCCTAACATTCATATGGAAGCACAGAGGACCCCAAATAGCTGAAGCAATTCTGGGCAAAAACAGCAGTTTTGGAGGTATCACACAACACCTGACTTCAAACTATACTACAAAGCCATGGTAACAAACATAGTACAGTACTGCCACAAAACCAGGTAAGAGAAGACACAAAAATAACCCAAGCACATATATCCACTTGATTTTTGAAAAAGGTGCCAGAAACATACATTGGATAAAAGTTTCTTCAATTAAGTTTTGGAAAAACTGTATATCCTTATGTAAAAGACTGAAACTAGATGGGTTGGGAATGTGGCTTAGTGGTAGAGTGCTTATGCACAAAGCCCTGGGTTTGATTCCTCAGCACCACATACACAGAAAAAGCCAGAGGTGGCGCTGTGGCTCAAGTGCTAGCCTTGAGCAAAAAGAAGCCCTGGCTCTGAGTTCCAGCCCCAGGACTGGCAAAATAATAAGTAAATAATAAAAGCACACCTTTAAAAAAAAGACTGAAACTAGAGCCCTATTCCTATTGTTTACAATAAATTTAGGTGGCACACACCAGTAATCTTCGCTGCTCAGAAAGCTGAGATCTGAGGAGCACAGTTCAAAGCCAGCCTGCACAGGAAAGTTCCTGAGATTCCAATTAACTACCCAAAAAAGAAATGGTGCTGTGGCTAACAACAACAAAGTTACAAGCTATCATCCAAGCCTGGAGTTGGCCCCCCTCCCCACGAAAAAAAAAATGAATTCAAAATAGATCAAAGATCTTGCCAGGCCCTGGTGGCTCACACCTGTAATCCTAGCTACTCATAGACTTTCCTAGCCAGCCTAGGCAGGAAAGTCTGTGAGATTCTTCTTTTTTTTTTTTGGTCCGGTTGTGGGGCCTGAACTCTGGGCCTGGATGCTGTCCCTCAGCTCTTCAGCTCAAGGCTAGCACTCTACCCTTTGGGCCCCGGGGCCCTTCCGGCTTTTTTCTTTTTTGCTTATGTGATGCTGAGGAATTGAACCCAGGCCTCAGGCATGCAAGGCAAGTGCTCTACCACTGAGCCACCTTCCCAGCCCCGTCTGTGAGATTCTTATTTCCAATTAACCATCAAAAAGTTGAAAGTGGAACTGTGGCTCAAGTGATTGAGTGCTAACCTTGAGCAAAAAAGTTTAGGGATAGTACCCAGGCCCTGAGTTCAAACCCTAGGATTGGCATTAAAAAAAAATCTAAAAATGGAACTACCATATGTCCCTGCTATATCACTCCTGGCATATATCCACACACTAGCCCACTATGGAAAGACTAGGTGCCCACAAATGATTAAAATGATGGATAAAGAAAATGTAAACATACACAATGGCAAAATAAATGAAATTATGCCAGTTTCAAGAAATGAATGTATCTGTAAATTGTCACAATGAGATAGGGCAAGCTCAGAAAGGCAGTGTATTTCTTATTTTCACTTCTCCGAGAAACCTAGAAAAAAATGACATGTTTAGCCAGGCGCTGGTGGCTCACGCTTATCCTACTAAGGAGGCTGAGATCTGAGGATCATGGTTCAAGGCCAGCCTGGGCAGGAAGTCTGTGAGAGTCTTATCTCCAGTTAACTACCAGAAAACCGGAAGTAGTGCTGTGGTTCAAGTGGTAGAGTGCTTGCCTTGAGCTGAACAGCTGGAGGGCCAGCACCCAGGCCCAAAGTTCAAGCCCCATGACTGATAAAAAAATAAAGACATGTTTGTAAAGGTAGGGGTCATCTTGGGGAGCAGGGGAGGACAGGGCAATGGAGAAGATAAATATAATGGAAGTAATATATTAAAAAAATATAAAACATACATAGTGAGGCTCCCTAAAAGTTCAAAAGGGGGATGTGGAGGGGCTAAGAAATAAAGTTTTTCTCAAAGTACATTATATGCATACATATAACAATCTCTTCTTTCATGCTAATAAAATTTTTCAAATAAGATGTCATATGTGGTTTTTATAATTGTAGGCTCTAACATTTAAGTGTGAAACATTTTGAGTTAATGCTCATATGATGTGGGGTAGTGGTCCAACTTCATTCTTTTACATGTGGATATTTGTCTGATCATTAGTTGAAAAGACTATTCTTACCCCAACCAATATTTTTGGCTCATTTGTTAAAAATCAGCTGACTACACATGTGCGGCTTTATTTCTGAACTACCAACTCTATCCCACTTTTCATGGAGAATGGTATGTGATAACCACCATCGTGGTGGTAGGGGTGCTCATTGATAATGGGTGTCACTTTTAGTTCCTCTTCATGAACACATACACCTCTTCCTTTGAAAAGAGTTCAAATAAATACTTTACCTTTCAGTTCAACATCAGAGTTCATTTTATCTTTCTTCCCTTTTTCAGGTTTGTAAATGATGTCTCCCATTTTCTTTGTTAAAATTTCCAAGTTTTTATTTTGTAGTAATTGAATGTTGCAAAAATAGTACATGGTATATTACTAAGCAGACTGCAGACTCTATGGTCACCAAACTTTACATGCATTTGTGTATATATAGATTTATACAATTTTAACACAGGTACAGATTCACACACAACACTACAATCAATATACAAAACTTCCATCACCACAAAGGAACGTCTTGTGTATTCCTATATAGTTATACATATGCCATACCTCATTCAGTCCTATCCTCAGAAACCACTAATCTGGTCTTCATTCCTGTAATTTTGACATTTCAGTAATGTGTGCAATCACACAGTATGTGACCTATTGAGATTAGCTTTTTCATATAAATTCAATGTGGTTAGTAGCCTTGTGTTTTTTTTCCATTAAAAGCAGTATTCAATAGTAGAGATTTGTTTAATCACTTATCTATTGTAGGATATCTGGGTTGTTTTTGATTTCTGGTTAATACAAATAAAGCGGCTTTGAAAACTTTTGTGACAATACCAGTTTCCATTTCTCTGGTATAAATGTCCAGGAGTGCAACTGCTGAGTCACAGGTAATGTCTATGTTTAGCTTCAAAAGAAATTTCCAGAGTTTTCTCCAGTGTGGATATACCATTTTACATTCCTGTCATTGATTAAAAAACCAATTAGTTTGCATTCTCAATAATGTGTCGTAGTTTCCCTATTTTTCTTCACCCATTCTGATAAGCACAAGTACCTTCACTGTGGCATTAATCTGCATTTCCTATACTCATGAAATTTTTTCACATCATGACTTATATATCACACATTTTGGTGAAATAGCTACTTAGGTTTTTCACTCACTTTTTAGATATTTTTATCTTTGAGTCTTGAACACAATGTTTCCCACATTGATAAAATATTAACATTTTTTCTATTTGTAGCTTGTTCTTATTTTGAGTAAAAAGGTTTTAATTTTGATGAAATACAATGTTACAACTTTTTTCTTTCTTTTATGTATTGTGCTTTTGACTTCAAGTCTAAGAATTTATTTCCTAAGGATTTTTATCCTATGGCATTTTTCTAAAACTTTTATAGTTTTACATTTAAATCCATAATACATTTTGAGGTAACTTTTATAGAAGATACTAGGTTTAGGTTGAAGTTCTTTTTTTGCTTTTAGGTATTTATTACTTTAGCATGACTTATTGAAAAGTTTGTCCTTTCTCCATTGAACCACTTTTGTACTTAATCAGACTTATTTGTGTTCTCTCTTCTGTTCCATTGATCCATGTGTCTATTCCTCTGCCAGAATCATACTGTCCAGATTACTGGAGCTTCACATTAAGTCTTGAAGTGGAGTAATGTGAGTCTTGAAGTGGAGTAATGTGAGCACTCTAATTTTTGGTTCATCAAATCAATTTAGCTTTTTTTTAAGTGTAATTGTTCTCTGGGTATTTTCACCTTCTCTAGAGGAAAAGAAAAAAGAATAGAGAACTCTGGTGAGGGACACGAGAGAAAATACAGTACCTACATTCCATTTAAGTTTCAGAGTAGTGGTTCTGAATACAAGCTGTTCTGATACGAGTACTTCTAGAATTGTGATAATCTAGGTAAGAAACAAGAAGAAAAACCCAAACCACAAAACAACCTTTAGCATTGTTTTGGAGACTGAAGGTCTCTTCTTTCTTTTCTACTTCTCCAATCCCCACTTTAATTCTCAACATATAACTCTTTTCTGAAGACATACTTATTGTTCATGGTGATATTTGACAGGAATAGTGTAATCAAATTTTTTTGTGTGCCAGTATTAGGACTTGAACTCAAGGGTCTCACACTCTTTTTTTTAACTGTATTTTTTTTGTCTTTTCTTTTTTTTTTGGTACTGGGGATCGAACCCAGGATGTTGCGCTTGCTAGGCAAGCGCTTTGCCTCTGAGCTACATCCCAGCCCGGGTCTCACACTCTTACTTGGCTTTTCCCCTTATGTCTGGCACTCTACCACTTGAGCCACACCTCTACTTCTGGGTTTTTGTCAATTGGAAATAAGAATATAGAAGATTTGTTTTCCTGGGTTGCTTTTGAACCATGATCCTCAGACCTAGACACTTGAATAATTAAGATTACAGGCATGAGCCATGGGTGCCCAGCCACAATCAAACTTTTTAAAGTATGATTCTTGTTATATCCTAAGTTCTAAATGTTTCTGGAAAAATAAATTACAATGAAAATTCCTAGATATATAGGATCTGTTCAGTAGAGACTTGCTTCATAGTCACAAGTTACAACTCATTTGGTTGGTTAAAAAGGACGCCCATATTAGACTCAGTATTTGGTATCTCAGAATACCTATTGTCTCTCAACAAGGGCAAAGAATAAGAAGATAGGTGCTGATGAGGCACCTCTAGCACCCAGAAGCATCAAAAATACAAAATCAAAACGTAAAAAACTCTTCTTGCTTTAGCTTATTATAGGGGATAGGTGTAACTGGAAACAAAAATAAATACTTCCAAGTTTAAAAAGAGAAAAACAAACATTTTAAATGAACTCCTCATTTTATTCCCAGATATCTCTTGCCAATGTACTTCCTATAGCCATACAAAATAAAACTCTTTTATTATTTGTAGGCCAATTATAGGTGAGATGATTCAACAAGCTGTAGTGAAAATTTTAGGAAGACATCTTGTGTTTATTGCATGCATACAACTTACATACTGGAATATAAGAAGAACTGTTTCACTGTCTGCTAACCTATGAGCTGTGTGTGGATTCTAGATGACGTTTAGTGCACAAACTTACCCCATTTTTGTCTTCTACTTTATTCTAGGGAAGAAAGTTCTTCCATAAGCTTTTCCTTTTCTTGTTGCAACTCCTGTAAATGCTGTTGATTTTGTTCCAGTCTGTCCTCCAACCATTGCAGGAGAGGTCCACTGACTGCTGACATCTGACTACACAGATTCTTGGTAAACACTTTGGGAAAAAGACAGATGAGCTAACTGTGGCAAAGCTCATTTCATAGCATGTTCCCACTTCACCACCAATAGCACCTCAGTCATGAATACAGAAAAAAAGGAGATGGAGAAGTAGAAATAATGCAATAAATTGGGCCTGGACAAAGAAAATACCAATTTCTAAAGTCACAAACCAGTGAGAAGCCTGGCTATACTGAGAGCAGAAAAATGGCCAACTCCATTCCTTGAGGCAGAAGTGCTAAGAAAGCAGGAGGGCTCCTCTCAGCCCTTCAGCCCTTTCAACGCTAAATGACTATTAGAGAGCTAGCAATTTGCCTCTCAAATGCTATGCATATAATTAACGAAATAAATACATTAATTCAACTCACCTGAGAGGTCCTCTTTCAAAATGAGAAAACAAGAGAGATGAAGAACAAGGGAGTTATATTTTATGTCTTACCATAAATGTTCAGCTTCATGGTGAGACAAAGGTTCTATAACATGCAGGGGGGGGAGAGAGGGAGAGAGAGAGAGAGAGAGAGAGAGAGAGAGAGAGAGAGTGTGTGTGTGTGTGTGTGTCCTGGAGAGATGAAGAACAAGGTTATATTTTATGTCTTACCATAAATGTTCAGCTTCATGGTGAGACAAAGGTTCTATAATGTGCGTGTGTGTGTGTGTGTGCGTGTGTCCTGGGGCTTAAACTATATGCGGGGGGGGGTGTGTGTGTGGTGTGTGTCCTGGGGCTTAAACTATATGCGTGTGTGTGTGTGTGTGTGTGTGTGGTGTGTGTGTGTGGGGGGGCTTAAACTATATGCGGGGGGGGGTGTGTGTGTGTGTGGTGTGTGTGTGTGTGTGTGTGTGTGTGTGTCCTGGGGCTTAAACTCAGTGCCTGGTGTTATCCATGAGATTTAAAAAAAAAACTTTGCCCAAGGCTAGTGCTCTATCACTTCAGCCACAACTCTAGCTTTTTTGGGAGGGTAGTTAATTGGATTTGAGTCTCACAGATTTTGCTACCTGGATTAGATTTGAACCACCATCCTTAGACCTCAGCCTCCTGATCAGCTAGAATTTCAGGCATGAGCCTTCAGTATCTAGTTTATAGCACACTTTTAAAACCAAATCTGCCTAACAGAAATACTTCTTGTCTCTTAATACATGATTTATTGAAATGAACACTATAATACAAATCTTTCTAGAGATATTTGTGCATGGATATACTTATTTTGGGTGTTACTTTCCCCCATAACAATATCATAAGTAGGGGCTGGGAAGGTGGCTCAGTGGTAGAGTGCTTGCGTTGCATGCATGAGGCCCTGGGTTCCATTCCTCAGCACCACATAAGCAAAAAGAAAAAAGCCAGAAGTGGCGCTATGGCTCAAGTGGTAGAGTGCTAGCCTTGAGCTGAAGAGCTGAGGGACAGCACCCGGGCCCAGAGTTCAGGCCCCACGACTGGACCTCCCCCCCACAAAAAAACCCAAAAAAACAATATCATAAGTATTTTTCAATAAAAGTTTAAAAATCTAGTTTTCCTTAAAAGCTACATAAAACTCAATAGATATATCAACTTAATAAGTCTCTTGCTGATAGAGATCTAAGTGGCATCTAATTTCTGCTCTCTGCTTAAGTGGAATTGTCATACCTAAATTCATGTATACTTTAAAACTGATGAACCACTTTTTAATTGATTATACCATATTATAATTTCAGGAACAGAGGCAATTTTACTTTTCCCACATCCTTGTCTAGTTGTCTCTCAATTTAATCTTTCCCAATGGGTGAAAAAAATGGTAACTGGGTCTTGATTCATACTTCTTTAAAATATTATATTTAGCATTTAAGTTTTTCTGTAGGGGCCTATGAAAGTGTTCAATTTTTATTTAGTCAAATCTTTTATGAGTTCAGAGTTTCAGATTATACTTAGGCCACCATGTCCCTAGAATTTGAAAAGTATTCTCTTGTGTTTTCTTAAAATGATCATCATTAGGGAGAGGCAGATTATAGACAATAAATCAATGTAAAGTATACAGAGCAATGAATTTTGAAAACTGTATACCCCATATAACATCCCCAGCAGAAACACAAATTATTTCTATCATCCCAAGAATCCTCTCTACAATTCCATTTAGGCAAAATGTGCCTTCACCTCTATCCTCAAACAGCTACTAACATAGTTATCAGCATAAATTAGACTTCCCTATTCATGAATTTGTAACCATACAGTATATGGCTTTTTATATGATGCTTCTTGCACCAGGCATAATACCTGAGATTCATCCAGGTTGTTCATGTGTCAGTAGTTTGTTATTATTCCTGAGTAGTACTTCATTGTATACATATATTACATACTATTTATCCATTCACCTATTAACAAACTTTGGATTATTTCTACTTTTTGGGTATCAGAATAATACAGCCAGGTACACTTGTATACAATTTACGTTAAAACTTTGTTTTCAATACTTTTGGGTACACACCTAGATGAACTGGTGGGATATCTGGCAATTTTAATTGCCAAAGTGTTTGAACCATATTTAATTATAAAATCTTAAGCATATTTGGAACATATTTATGGACAGGAATCTACCTTCTTTGAAACAGAAAAATAATAATACAGGCTCTTGAAACCTATGTTAAATTCAGCACTATATCCCAATGTCCAGAAGAATGTCTAGCAAAGAATAAGCTTAAAATTTTTTGTCATGGGCTGGGAATGTGGCTTAGTGGTAGAGTGCTTGCCTACCATGCATGAAGCCCTGGGTTCAATTCCACAGTACCACATAAACAGAAAAAGCCCAAAGTAATACTGTGGCTCAAGTGGCACAGCATAAGCCTTGAGCACTGAGAGACTCAGGGACAGAGCTCAGGAGTAAGTTCAAGGCCCAGGACCGGCAAAAAAAAGTTACTAATCAGTAAATAATCCATCCATTTTATCGATTTGAAAAATCACATTAAGTATTAATTCTTAAATGTACATTGGCCTATCTCCGGGATTTACCTAGTTCCACTGATCTATTTAAGCTATTCCACATTTGAGTGATTATTATACTTTTTAAATTACTATTTTTAACCAATATTAACCCTTTGCAATGTTTTATTCTCAAACAGAAATGATGAGACAGATGGACCAAGCCAAGTCTCCCTTCCTTTCTTCATAAAGTGATTACTGCCTGTCACATTTGAAAGTGTCTGCTTTTCCTCACTTATCACTTAGCAAGTAAATGGGGAAGACTTTACTGAATCACTGGGGGATCAGGGTTAATTAGAAAGTATTTATCGCTCCAGAGTTGTGGATATTGGAAAAAAGTGTCTTAAGTATAGTGTAGTGAGTTTTTTTTTTTTGCTCTTTAACAGTATACAGGAATTTTTTCTCTATTAACATGAAAACACCTTCTCCTCTCTTGTGCCTTCCATTTTATCTGTCTATAGGCTGCTGATAATGCGCTGAACCAGCTTATAACAGTTCACAACAGTGCATTATTTTTGAGCTACCATGCTAGGATTTTATCATGGAAACCAGCAAACACAGTAAATCAAATCTCTATTAGCTGAGAGGTAGTTGTTAGACATATGCCAGTATACCACTGAATTGGTCTATCATAAATAAATCTCTTTCAATCTTTCCTCTTATCTTACTTTGGGCTGCATTTTTCAGTTATCTGGAGTTCAGGCACCGGGGGCTCACACCTGTAAGCCTAGCTACTCAAGAGGCTGAGGATCACAGTTCAAAGTCAGCCCAGGCAGAAAATTTCCCATGAGATCCTTTTTTTTTTTTTGCTTATGTGGTGCTGAGGAATCAAACCCAGGGCCTCATGCATGCAAGGCAAGCACTCTACCACTGAGCCACCTTCCCAGCCCATCCCACGAGATCCTTATCACCAATTAGCCACTCAAAAATCAGAAGTGGTGCAATATAGCTCAAGTGGTAGAGAGCTAGCCTTGAGCACAAAGAGGCTCAGGAACAGTGCTTAAGCCGAGTTTAAGGCCCAGGACCAGGAAAAAAAAGAGTTTGTGAGCAAAAGCAGTAAAGCTCTTGAGAAAGGAAAATAAAAGCTAACTGGTATTCATGACCTTTATTGCTTAACTTTGCTTTTGTCAGGTAAGTATTTCACAGACCACTCTATGCAAGGAAATAAGAAACATTACCTGAGCCATTATGTATCTTGGTTACTGAGTCCAGATGTGTAAGACTAAAGAAATAAAGTAAGTTTATGTCAGTAACAAAGCAACACTGAAGGGAAAACAAAAAGGTCATGATCTGTAACAAAATCTACTTTAGACCTTTGCCAGCTGAGTTAGATGAATATTTATAATTTACGTTTCAATTCCTATTATTTCCAAATTATTGTAGGGATATGACTTTATTTAAAAAATTGAAAAATACTAATAGAAAACTTTGAAATTAATGTCTCTCATTAAAACCTTGATATGCATTGATGGAGGAAATCTAGTAGAAACAGGGTTACTAAAATGTCATTTATTTTGTTTTCACAAACAAAATGAAAATATGCTTTTCCTTGAAGTATCCAAATATACCAGGACAGGAAGATATGTTAAAGAGATTGTTAAAATAGAGTGCAAGACAATTCCAGACCTCACACTCTCTACTGAGCTATAATAACAAAAACAATTTGGTACTGGCACAAAAATAGGCCCAAAGATCAATGGAACAGACTTGAAAACCTAGAAATAAAGCCTTATAGTAACCATATACTAACATCAACTCAAAATGGATCAAAGGCCTTAATCACAAACTATTGCAAGATGGAGTAGGAGAAACATTAGGCCTTATAGGCATAGGCAGGAACTTTTTCCAGAGTCCCGGGCAAAGCAGACAGAAGAGAGATTTGACAAATGGAATTACATCAAAATAAAAAGCTTCTGCACAACAAATAACATCATTTCTCAACTAGAGAGACAGCCAACAGACAGGGAGAAGATCTTTACCAGCAATACATCAGACGAAGGTCTAATATCCAAAATATACAAGGAACTCAAAAAACTAACCTCTCTAAAGTAAACAAACCAATTAACAAATGGACAATGGAGCTAAAGAGAAACTTCTCAGAAGAATGGCAAAGACACATATGAAAAATGTTCACCACCCCTGGCCGTAAAGGAAATGTATATCAAAATAACTTCCATCTCACCTCAGTTAGATTGGATAGCATCAGGAATTCAAACAACAAATGCTGGTAGGAATGTGGGGTAAAAGGAACCCTATTGCACTGTTGGTGGGAATGTAAACTAGAACGACCATTCCGGAAAGCAGTCTGGAGGTTCCTCAAAAAACTCAGAACTTTCCTATGACCCAGCCATAACACTCTCGGCATCTACCCAGAGCATCACAAGCCAGGATATCGTAAAGACACTTGCACACCCATGTTTACTGCTGCATATTCACAATAGCCAAGTTATGGAAACAGCCCAGATGCTCTACAACTGATGATCAAAAAATGTGGTACACAATGAAATTTCACTCATTCATTAGAAAGAATATAAATATGTCATTTGCAGAAAAATGGATGGAATTAGTGTTCTAGTTAAGTGTGGTAAGCCAAGCTCAAAGAGACAAACAGTGCATGTTGTCTTTTATATATGGATGCTACATTGAAATACAACTGGACATGACAACCTATACAGGACTCTTGGCATTTATACACAAACAGTAAGACCAAAGGAGGATACCAGTAGGGGAGGAACCCAAAGGTGTAATTCTCCTGAACATTTAAAATACTATTTATCGAAAAGAATTCCAGGAAGCAGAAACATGGGTTATAGTTTGTTATTGATGGTGGTGGTATGTGCTTTCTTTCTCTCTTTTTTTTTTTGCTTCTTGGGGAAGACAAAGGGGAGTGGTCACAGAAAGTGAGGGAGGAAGGGTGAACAAATGAAATCATGGTAATCAGTATACACTTTGTGGAAAATGAACTATGTAACCTTATGGGCAGGGACAAGAAGGGGAAACAGGTTAGTGAAGGAAGGGGTGACATTGTTCAAAAGGGAAATGTATGCGTTGCCTGAATTGTGAAATGGTAACCCCTCTGTACAATGCCTTAATAGAAACAATATCATTCTTTAAAAAACATAGTGTGATAACTGTAATTAGAGCAGTGAAAGGAAAGGAGATGTGGCTCAAGAGTTGAGCTGTTACAGATAAAAGGATTCGGCTCTGAGAAGTAGGAAAGAGGCACAACTGTGTCTACCTGTGAATCCTTCTATATGCATCCTGCTCTTCCTGGCACAGAATCTTGGGCAGCTCTACTGCTGATTCGAGGCACACTTTCCCAATGGTGACATGAGGTACAATATGGATTGGGATTTCAATTCTCTCATACCTGCAAGATAACCAGTTCAGATCAGTTCAGTTCAGATCAGTATTGAACCCTTCATTATAATAAGTTCTCTATAGTTTTGACACCTGGGGATATGGCATGTTTCAGAGGGTAAGCATTGCAATAATTCATTAAGTGGCTTAATTTCAAAGTAGAGAGAGTTCAAACTGGTTCATTTGGGGAGCAAATTAGGAGTCTGCTTTGAAGAGTCAATATTCCTGGTCCTATACATAATCAGAATTTACATCTGCTAACTTACCAGAAACCTTTGGGAGTTCAAGGTCCCAGGCAAGGAAAATAGCCAACTAATACTGTTTTTAGTCAGAAAGTTGCCAGTGAAGCTGAACAAATTGATCATAAAGCCTGGAGAAAAACTGCAAACTGTTTATTTTACAGATGGAACTATACACATTCTGACTTGCTCTAACTCTGTTCACAAATGACCCTTACTTCTCATTCTCTCCTTTCGGGGAACACAGTTAAGAAGTTCACATATATTTGTATTTTCATGCTACCGTGAAAGAAAAAAGATATGTATGTTACTATTGTCAAGTAATCTCTTTTTTCTTCATACTCCCAATATACCTAAACTTCTAACTGTGTGTTCAGTGGAGAATCCAGGTTGGGGACCTTGACATACTGCAGGCCCCTTGACACAGGGTGGTAAAACAGAGTAATATCTAGTTCTTTCCCAATAAGTACGCTTATGTACCATGCCACAAATGATGGGAAATTACAATCACTCTTTACCTCTCTACACTTAAAAAGTCAGGAGAAAAATTATGAAAAAATATGCCCAGCTGCTAAGTGGCTTGAAGGCCCTTTCAAGTATTATCTGATATTATTATTGCTATTTCCAGAACCAAGACTGCTATTAGTAAAGTTACCAAGGTTTCCAAGTAAATCTATCAATAGTACAGTCAAAAATAGTTTCAATCGTTTATTGGGTTGAGACACATATCTTCACAAATTCCTAGAGGAAAGTGCTAAAGGTTCTGTCAGGTTACTGAAAACAACAATCCTTGGACCAAAACGGGTAGAAATTTAAAATTTATGACAAAGAAGTGTTTGGAACAGATAAAACAGCATCTATTTAGAAGTCATTGGCAATGACTAATAACAGTACCAACAAGTAGAACAGGAAGAAAAAGAGCCTGACAGGAATAGTTTTTCTAGAAGGGTATTTTCTGATTCCAAGGAAGAAACTTTAGAATAAGTTGAAAACATTTTTCAAAAGGGTTTGTGGGTCCTAGGTCTCAGTTGAAAAAGTCAGTAGAGTAAGACTCATAGATAATACAGATACATGGGGAAGCCAACGTACTAGAATGTTTAGGACTTTGTGCTTCTAGAGACACTGAACACCACCAGACTGATTAGAATACCTTTGAAGAATTCTAGAGACCAGTTGAAACGTTCTAACATATAGACAAATGTAAAATAAAGCAGGGATTCCAGCAAAACTTGTAGAAAAATCTGTGATACTTTGTGTACCTGCGCGCTTCCCTTGTCCTATTTGACCTTTCATAGTACAAAGAGGATGGAAACTCTCACATTGAGGATCCTGCCTTGAGATGTAAATAAAGAGCAGACCAGCCTAAGCTAGGAAATTTCAGAGAGACTAGAATCTGTATCATTTGACTTGATTGCTGACAATACTGAAAGCTTGGTATGGAAGGTGATGAAAATAGATACAATCTGAGCAACAAAAGAGACTCAGTTCTATATGAAGCCAGAATGGGGAGCAGGAAATTTGGACGCCTCTAAAGAAGCAGAAACTGGTTGCTTAGGGAATTGGAAATAACAAAAATGTATGAAAAGTCCCAGAATCTCTAGATGGACTTATCAGTGAATGTTTTCCCTAGCACAAAGCCATTCAATAAAGACTAGGACAGGTGGCTGCTTTTTCAAATGTCTGAGTGTCAATAATAACAACACTTCTGTAAAAAAGGTATATAAACAAACAGTGAAACAAGACCCAAATCACAGGGTAAAATCCAGAAAACAATCCTAAGAAAAGAATGATCTGAGATGCTTGACAAAGAAATTAAAATAACTAGCATAAAGATGCTTAAGTAGGTCAAGTGAAAACACAGGTAAGTAAATGAAAAAAGGAAAATGATACACGAAAAAAATGAAACCATCAACAAAGATAAGGAAACTGTAAAAAGAAAAGAAGCAAATAGGAATTCTGGAACTAAAAACAGAATTACTCAACTGAATGAAGCAAAAAGTGAAGAAGCCTAAGAGACTACTAACAGGACAGTAGGAAGTAGATTAATACCTTACATGATTTCAAGAAGGAAATGAGATGAAAGAAAGGTACAGAGATTATTTGGAGATATAACTCACTTCTGAGAAAAGAAGTACAAATTCACAAAAGTAAAAAAACTACAACTAGGACATATCCAATGACACTAACACCAAGGCCATATAAGCAAACTGTCAAAAGTTAAAGATGAGAAAAATATTGAAAGCAGCAAGAAAAAGTGCTTCATTATGTACAAGAGCTTGCCAGTCTATTTCTCAGCAGAAACCTTGTAGACTAGAAAGAACTGGGATGATCTATTCAAAGTCCAAAAAGGAAAATAAAATTCTTATCAATAAATATTGCATCAGGCAAAACTCTCCTTGAAAAATGAAGGAGAAATTAATGTTCTACTAAATAAACAAAAGCTTAAGAAGTTCATTAACAATAGATATGCTCTATAAGAAATGCTAAAGGGGCTTCCGGTTAGGCTAAGTCGGTGTCTTCGTTGTTTGAAGGACATAGGCCGTCGAATTTGTGACTTTGGCAAAGATTGACATCATGGCAGGCGCAGAAAATGAAGGCCAATTCCAGTTCACTGGTATTAAGAAGTATTTCAACTCATACACTCTCACGGGTAGAATGAATTGTGTGCTGGCCACATATGGAGGCATTGCTTTGCTGGTCTTATACTTTAAGTTAAGGTCTAAAAAGACTCCAGCTGTGAAAGCAACATAAATGGATTCTAAATTTTCTGAGCTCATCTGTTAAATTCCCAAGCCTGGAGAAGCTAATGTCAACTCATCATGTAATATTCAATTTGTACAATAAATTATGAACCTGGAAAAAAAAAAAGAAATGCTAAAGGGTGTTTTTCAAAATAAAAGGAAGGGCAGAGAGGAACATGGAACCATATAAAAATATCAAGTTCTGCAGAAAAGTGTAAATACAGACAAAATCAGGAATCCACATTATATAACTTTAGCCCATAATTCATTTAACTTTTGCATAAATTTAAGTGACAAAAAGCATTTTTAAAACCCTATGAATTAAAACATTAGACTTGAATAGCAAGGAATTGATTTTAAATGCTGCAAAATCAAAAAAGGAGTTAAATTACAATGGAAAGAAAATCAGAATCACTGCATACCTCTCCACACAAACCCTCAACGCAAGGAGAGCCTGGAATGGTATCACCTGAAGATAACAACTGCCAACCCAGACCTGTGTGCTCAGAGAAGCCATCATTTATATTAGAGGGTGAAACAAAACCTTCCATAACAAATGAAAATTAAAGGAATTCATGAACACTATATCAGCATTACAAAGAATACTAAAGGAAAGAATAAAAATCTGAAGATAACAACCAAAACCAAGGAAACACATCAGAGAAAAATCAGTAGAAGATCAATTTAGTAAGCACAGAATGTGGAAAGAAGTAAAATACAGGAAATCAAATGGAAAGAAGTAAAATACGGGAAATCAAGAAAATGGAAGGAAACATGACACATCTCCCTATAATAACTAAACATTAATGGACTCAATTTCCCAATCAAAAGAAATAGAACAGCAGATTTGATCACAAAACAAGATCCATCCATTTGTTGTATCCAAGAGACCCATCTCACAAAGATTATAAACAAACTCCAAATGAAAGGGTAAAAAAAGATCTTCCATGCAAATGCACCTTGTAAGAAGGCAGGAGTAGCCATACTGATACCTGATAAAATAGACTTTTTATTAAAATCAGTACGAAGAGACAAGGAAGGTCATATTAATAAAGGGAATGATCCATGAAGAGGAAACCACAGTGGTCAATATCTATGTGCCAAACAATGGAGCACCTAAACTTGTTAAATACTTTCAGACTTACAGAGACTCTTATCTCCAATAAGCCACTCAGAAAACCGGAAGTGGTGCTGTGGCTCAGTGGTAGAGTGCTAGCCTTGAGCTGAAGAGCTGAGGGACAGCGCCCAAGCCCGGAGTTCAAGCCCCATGACCGACAAAAAAAAGAAAAAAAAGATCATATCATAATTCACACAAAGAACCTAAGCAAATACAAGAGGACTGGCATAATACCTTGCATCCTATCTTACCACAGTAGAATCCAACAACTTAACAACAAAACATAATGCAGAAACTACTCAAATACATAAAGTCTTAACAACACACAGTACTGAATAACATCTGGGTCACAGAAGAAACTAAGGAAGAAGTTGAATATGAAAACACATCACAACAGAACCGCTGGGATACAGCAAAAGCAGTGTTGAGGGAGGAAAGCACACATAAAATAGAAACAGCTCAAGTAAACCTAATGATACAATTAAAACTGCTAGAAAAACAAGAAATAAAATCAAATCTTAAACTACTAGAGACAGCAAGGATTAGGGCAGAACTCAACAAAATAAAGAAAACTATACATAAAATCAATGAAACAAAATTTGTTTTTTTGAAAATATTAATAAAATTGACAGACCACTTGCGAGATTAATGAAAAAAAGAAGAGAAAATTCAAATCAACGAGATCAGATATGCCACAGGAAACATTACAACAAACATGTAGGAAATCCAAATGATTATAAAGGACTACTTTCAAAACCTCTGCTCACTAAAGAAGGAAAACCTAGCAGAAATGGAAGAATTTCTAGAAACATACAAAATACCTAAACTGAACCTAGAAGATATAAACCAGATAAACAAACCAATAACACGCAAGGAGATAGAGGAAGTAATCAGAAGTCTTCCAACAAGGAAAAGGGTAGGCCCAGACAGACTCACCACTGAATTTCAGAAGACTTTTAATGATGAACTGATACTAATCCTCCTCAAGCTTTTCCATGAAATAGAAGCAGAGGGAGCAATCCCAAACCTATTCTAGGAAGCCATTATCACACTCATCCCCAAACCAGGTAAGGATCCAACAAAAAAAGAGAACTACAGACCAATTTCTCTGCTGAACACAGATGCAAAGTTCCTCAATAAAAGATTACCCAACACAATCCAGAAAAAATTTAAAAAGTCATACATTATGACCTAGTAGGCTTCATCCCACAGATACAAGGTTGGTTTAATATAAACAAATCAATAATTTAATTCACTATGTCAACAGAGCCAATGTTAACCACATGATCATCTCAATAGACACAAAAATAAACCTTTGACAAAAATACAACATCCATTCATGCTAAAATCTCTGGAGAACCTGGGAATAGAAGGAACATTCCTTAAAATATTAAAAGCTATACATGACAGTCCAACAACCAATATCATACTGAATGGAGAAAAACTAAAACCATTTCCCCAAAAATAAGGAACAAGGCAAGGATACCCACTCTCTCCATTCCTCTTCAATAGAGTTATGTAACTCTTAGAGCAATAAGACAAGAAAAGGACAAAAAAGGGATTCACATAGGGAAAGAAGAAATGAAACAATCTCCTGTGTGCTTTTTTTTTTTGTCGGTCATGGGGCCTGAAGTCTGGGCCTGGGCGCTGTCCCTCAGCTCTTCAGCTCAAGGCTAGCGATCTACCACTTAAGCCACAGTGCCACTTCCAGCTTTTTCTGTTTATGTGGTGCTGAGGAACTGAGCCCAGGGCCTCATGCATGCAAGGCAAGCGCTCTACCACTGAACCACCTTCCCAACCCCAAATTAAACAATCTCTTTGCAAATGACATGATCTTATATCTAAAAGACCCCCAAACTTCTACCCCCAAACTCCTAGAGCTAATCAACCACTCCAGCAAAGTAGCAGGATACAAAATTAACCTGCAAAAATCAGTAGCCCTTTGTATGCAACAATGTAGAAGCAGAAAGGGAAATCATGAAAACAATCCCATTCGCAATAGCCTCAAAAAAATAATACCTAGGAATTAACCTAACCAAAGATGTAAAAGATCTTTACAGGGAAAAATATAAAAACCTAAAGAAAGAAATTAAAGAGGACACCTGGAAATGGAAAGACCTTCCATGTTTATGGATAGGTAGAATCAATATTGTGAAAATGGCCATACTGCCAAAAATGATAGACAATTCAATGCAATCCCCATCAAAATCCCAATGATGTTTTTTATCAAGATAGACAAAACAATCCAAAAATTCATGCAGACCAACGAAAGACCTAGAATAGCCAAAGCAATACTAGGCAAAAAAGCAATGCAAGCAGTATCAGAATATCAGACCTCAAACTTAACTACGGAGACATAATAACAATAACAGCTTGGTATTGGCACAAAAATAGACCCAAAGATGAACGAACACATTAGAATACCCAGAAATTAAACCACATATTTAGAGCTGGGAAGGTGGCTCAGTGGTAGAGTGCTTGCCTTGCATGCATAAGGCCCTGGGTTCAATTCCTCAGCACCACATAAACAGGAAAAGCTGGAAGTGGCGCTGAGGCTCAAGTGGTACAGTACTAGCCTTGAGCTGAAGAACTCAGGGACAGCATGCAGGCCCAGAGTTCAAGCCCCACAACTGACAAAAAACACAAAACAACAACAACAACAACAACACATCCCCCCCACACACACTTACAGTCATCTGATATCTGACAAAGGAGCCAGTGGAAAAAACATAGCCTCTTCAACAATTGGTGATGGGAAAACTGGGCAGCAGAAAACTAAAAGAGGATCCCTGTTTGTCACCATGCACTAATATGAATTCAAAGTGGGTTAAAGACCTCAACACCAGAAACAGAACTCTGAAACTACTGCAAGAGCAAGTAGGAGAGACATTGGAACTCATAGTACAGGCAGGAACTTCCTGAATACAGTCCCAGGGGAACAACAGATAGGAGAGAAACTCGACAAGTGAGACTAATATAAAAAGTTTCTGCACAGTTAAGGACCTAGTTACTAAACTAGAAAGACAGCCAGCCATTTGAGAAAAGACCTTTACCATCAATACATCAGACAAAGGCCTAATATCCAATATATACAAGGAGCTCAAGAAACTAAACCCTCCCAAACACACCAATTACTACATGGGCAAGGAGGCTGAGAGACTTTTTAGAAGAAGAGGTAAGAATGGCAAAGAGACACATGAGGAAATGCTCATCATCCCTGGACATAAAGGAAATGAAAATCAAAACAACCCTGAGATACCATCTTACCCCAGTTAGATTGGCCAACATTTTGAATTCTGACAACAAATGCTGGTGGAGGGTATGAAGAAAAAGGAACTCTACTGCTCTGTTGGTGAGAATGTAAACTGATAGAATCACTCTGGAAAGCAGTCTGGAGATTCCTCAAAAAACTAAACATAGACCTTCCCTACAACCCAGCCATACCACTCGTAGGCATCTACCCTGAGCAGCATAAGCCAAGATATGATAAGGACACCTGCACATCCATGTTCACTGCCACACTATTTACAATATCCAAGATATGGAAACAGCCCAGATGCCCCATAATAGATAAGTGGGTCCAAAAAATGTGGTAACTATGTACAATGGAATTTTACATAGTCATTAGAAAGAATAAAATAATGTGATCTGCAGGGAAATGGATGGAACTAGAATAAATCTTGTTGAGTGACGTAAATCAAGACCAGAGAAGAAAACAGCACATTTTCCCTGACATGTGGAAGTTAGATCTAAAACACACTGGGATATGATAAATTATAAAGGATTCTATAAGTCACATACAGTGAGACCAAAAGAGGACAGTCTTAGGAAAAAATCACGAAGGTGTAATACCCAAGTACATCTTCATATCTGTATAATATACATACCAAAACGAACTGCAAAAATATAGAAACAAAGGACTTTTTTCTTAGTATTCTTTACCTTATATACAATATATTTATATGCACATCTGTGGGAAAGTGGGAGGAGGAAAACTGGTAGTATATGAATATTATCTGTGGATTAAGTAGTAGTATTATATGAATTTTAATTTCCTGATACTGACAATTATAAAATGGCTATGGAATATAAAGTCCCTGACTTTCAGGGAATGCCTACTGAAGGAGAATCATGTATGCAACTTACGCTCAAATGGTTCTAGAGAAAAATATCCACACATACGAAGAGAAAATGATAATACAAATGTACAATTTTTTATGTGCTAGTCCCGGGGCTTGAACTCAGAGCCCAGACACTGTCCCTGAGCTTTTTTTGCTCAAGGCTTGTACTCTATCACTTGAGTCACACTGGCACTCCTAGCTTTTTTTTTTTTTTGGATGTGTCTCATGGACTTTTTTTTGACAGTCATGGGGCCTGAACTCTGGGCCTGGGCACTGTCCCTCAGCTCTTCAGCTCAAGGCTAGTGCTCTACTACTTGAACCATGGTGCCACTTCTGGCTTTTTCTGCTTATGTGGTGCTGAGGAATGGAACCCAGGGCCTCATGCATGCAAGGTAAGCACTCTACCACTGAGCCACTTTCCTAGCCCCTCATGGACTTTTATGTCCTAGCTGGATTTGAACTGTAATCCTCAGATAGCAGCCCTCTGAGCAGCTAGGATTACAGGTATGAGCTACTGGCACCTAGCTTGTTGTATAATTTTAAAAGTTAAAGATTCTGGGTGTGATATATACAAGACTTCCTTATACTATTCTTACAATTTCTCCATAAGTCTGAAATTATTTTAAAACAGAATGTCAAAAATATAATAACTAACAGAATCAAAACAGAACAATTTCTTACTGAAAAAGATAAAGAAAAAACCCAACCCAGTCCAAAAAGTAAGAGGAAGGAAAGCATGACAGGAAAGAAAGAGAAGGAAGGGGAGAGGCAGGGAGCCTATCCATAAATACATGTTTCTGTCATACTTACTCTGAACTCTTTTGGGCCTGTATGGATTGGAAGCAGGTGTAAAGTACCCGGCCAGTCTATTTAAAAAGAAAGAAAGAAATCATACATAAGAGTATTTTTGTTTTATTATTTCTTATCAAAATATACTTTTTGTACATCTTTGTGGAATACATTATAGCAATTCAATATCTGTATACAATATGTAATAATCAAATCAGAGTACTGAGCATTACTATCTCTTCAATCGCCAATCATTTTTTTGTTGGTAATTTCACAGCAACTTAGTAGTCTCTAACCTAAAACACAAAGGACCCTGGAAGTAGAAAGATATAAGAAACCTCAAACATGGAATTTGCCATAAATGAATTTTTATTAGAAGGACCATATACTCAGTCTATATGATGGTCACAACCAAATGTTGCTAATAAATGTGAGATCCAAGAAAGTAAAAACCCAAACATTCACATTGCTGTGTTGGAAACTGATAAACTTATTCCACAACTATTTATGATGATTACACAGATAAATTTATGATGAAAAGCTGAAAGTATTTCACAGTATAAAGTCCAAGCTATTGAACTGCTATGTTTCTGGAAAAAAAGTAATTTCATGACCTTATAGGATTAGGTCTCAGGATATTCTGGAACTCATCTGGAATCAAATGAGCTGTCCATTAAATGGGGATACTTTTGAGAGGGAAAGAAACTAAATAGGACACTATTTAGTAGAGTCTCTGAGGCAAACTGGGATGAATGATCACAATCTTCCTCACTCTGCTATGCCAGTTTCCTCAATATTCCCTGTATATTCCACACTCACCTTAGGAATCTTTGCACTGCTTACTTCATCTGCCTATGGTGATCTTCCCCCATGATATCCACAACTTGTTCCTTTGCCTTTGGGTCCTGACCCAATAACCCTTTTCATTGAAACCTTCCTTGAATATTCTTTTAAAATTCCAAAGACTTTACTCTCTGCATACACACACACACACACACACACACACACACACACACACACACACTACCTTTGTGTTTTTATCTGACCCAATAACCCTTTTCATTGAAACCTTCCTTGAATATTCTTT